AAAAGAGCGTCTGACTTTTTTCTTAGAACGCGTGTTCTTTTTCCCTAGTTGTATAATTAAGCGTGTATTATCTAATCCGGGGTGTGTGGGTTGTATTAGTTAGTCAGGTAAGGAGAGTATTAAAAGCCCAACCCGTATAAAATAGTCGGGTAATTAAATAATACAAGTTGACACCAAACACCTGACATAGACTATTTACTCCTATCCAAAGTCTAATACGGTGTACCAAACGAGCCCTTACTAACTTAAAACATTTAAAAAAGAAAAAGTAATAAAGCAAAAGTACAATAACAAGTACTAAAACCGCATCAAATAAATTAAACTTGCTGTTAAAGGGATCAGCCAATACACGAATCACGTTTTGTTACGAAGGCATAAGCCTTTTTTTTTTTTTCAATTTTATTTTAAATTTAGTACAAGCAATAGTTTAAACTCACACATACAACTAAAATGTCATGGGGGTTCGAACCAGAGACCTCTGGTCTACAAATTAATGTCATTTTTCACTGGGTTAGACCTCGTTGGCTTCTATAACGTAAATCATGTCATCTCGTACAGAAGAAATTATAGAATACTACAAGTTATGTAATTAATCTGCCACATCATATTTTTCTTAATTACTCATTATTTTGTCTGGAAAAGTAAAAAGAATATCACCAAGAAAAACAATAAAATTTATAAAGAAAAAGTAATATCTCGTACATTCATAGATATGTGAGTTGTAGTATCAGATGTGGTGGTTTCTTTGGAATTTTAATTTTTCTAGCTGTTTATTTTTTCCTTTCTTATTTATGAAACTTCAATTTTCATTAAAATCTTGTAAAGGAAGAATCATGCTCTTTGATATTCTTCTATCATTGCATAAATAACCAAGAATTGACATTCTTTGATTTGGTGAATTTTGTTATATACTAATGTAAGATGAAAAAAGCTTTGATTTGTTTGTGTTTTTATAATGCAATTTTAATTTTGTGTCGCACAAAATGTGTGAGATGGCAGCAACATCTATCTTTTCGATTGGAATCACATGTTCCCTTAGTCATAAGTGTTAGATTTCTATAGTGTCCATGATCTTTCACACAACTTGAAATACATAGAAGACATACATGGCGTCATCTTCCTTGAGTACACGATCTCAGAACTCATTCAATCGCAGCAGCGGCAACACGAGCAAAAGGCACGAATGGCTTAAGACTTCTACTCTCTCTCATAAACTATTTCAACGCTCTTTTTATGATGAGATTAAGGTTAGAGAATGTGTCTAATGAGAGCAGGGTCTTAAGCTTATATAGGGGTAGGTCAAGTTGTCTCTACTACTCATCACCAAGCGTCGACTTGACTAACATATGCCGTATTTGTGCATTTGTTGTGTTACGCTGTGCACTCTGCCGTGTTCGTGCCTGTCTTCATGCATCTGCCATATTTGTGCCTCTGCTATTGTGTTCCGCTGTGCACTCTACCGTGTTCGTGCCTGTCTTCATGCATCTGCCATATTTGTGCCTCTACTGTGTTCGGTTGTATTCTCTACCGTGATCTGTTGAGTTTCTACTACAATCATGGGTGATAAATCCATTGTTGGTGCTGCCTCTAAAAATTTGTGTGTTTCTGACTCTATTCCAGGTACTGGCTCCAATACTTGGATAATTGACATTGGTGCTTCTGATCATATGACTTATGATACTAAATTTTTTGGTGAGTTGTCTAGTAACACCCGTGACCTATACATAATTACTCTCATCAACGGAGTAAACTTGATCTTTGTGCTCTGCGATGTGTCTTTATTGGTTACTCTTCTACTCAGAAAGGTTATAAGTGGTATTATCCACCTACTCAGAACGTGCATATTACTTTGGGCGTGACTTTCCATGAAGAAGTGCCCTTTTATGTCTCTCCCTCCTCTCCAATTCAGGGGGAGAGGGGGAGTGAATTGGAGAGTCCTGGATTGGAGAATCTTAGACTTGAATTGGACAATGATGTGTTTGAAGATACTACTCTCGGGAAGGAAACGACCGGTCGCACTGAAACAAGTGACCGGTCGCCCATATATGAAGATGAAACATGTGGTCTCTGTGCAGAAACGACCGGTCGCCCTTTGGAACTCGATCGGTCGCCCATATGTGGAGATGAAGCAGGTTCTCTCAATGTCGAAACGACCGGTCACACTGAAGCAAGCAACCAGTTGCCTGTATTTGAAAATAATGACAGTAATTCTTGTATGGATGAGTTTGATGCAATATCCCCCTCTGCACTGCCAGTGCCCCAATCTACTCGTGATATTGAATCAAGTGAGGTAATTTTTAATGATCTATCTGTGTTAACTTATCAGTTACCCCCACGAACCACTCGTGGGAAACCTAAAGCATAATATTTTCCTGATATACATTACAAGTCTAAATATCTCATTAGCCATTATGTGTCAACTCATCGTTTGTCTAAGTCATATGCATCATATTTGTGTCAATTATCTAGTGTATATGTGCCAACTAAGTTGCAGGATGCTTTATCTAACCTCAAATGGATAGATGCCATGAATGTCGAAATGGATGCCTTGAACAAGCATAAAATATGGGATTTAGTTCCTTTGCTACGAGGGAAGAAAGTTGTTGGATGCAGATGGGTCTTTACTTTGAAGCATAAGGCTAATGGTTCTATTGACCATTACAAAGCTAGATTGATAGCAAAGGGTTATACTCCGACCTATGGAGTGGATTATTTGGAGACCTTTGCTCCCGTGGCAAAGCTCAATACTGTGCGTGTATTATTGTCCCCGGGTGCTAACCGCGACTGGCCCTTATTGCAATTTGATGTCAAAAATGTGTTTCTACATGGTGACCTCAAGGAGAAGATTTACACGGATCTCCCTCCTGGTATTCCTGTAACCTGTAAGGATATTGTGTGTAAGTTACGGAAGTCTTTATATGGATTGAAGCAGTCTCCAAGAGCGTGGTTTAGGAGATTTGCAGCATCTATGAAGAAGTTTGGGTATGTGCAGAGTAACTCAGACCATACTTTGTTTCTAAAGCGCCAAGGTAAATTGACAGCTTTAATTATTTATGTTGATGATATGATTGTGACTGGAGATGAGCAGGCAGAAATGCAAAATCTTTCGAAGTATCTGGCTTCCGAGTTTGAGATGAAGTCATTGGGTGATTTGAAGTACTTTCTTGGGATTGAAGTTGCCAGATCTAAATATGGTATCTTTCTGTCTCAAAGAAAGTATATTTTGGATTTACTTGCAGAGACTGGAATGTTAGATTGTAAACCAATTGATACCCCTAGTAAACAGAATCATAAGTTGAGGTTGTATTCTGATCAAGTCCCTACAGATAAAGAGCGTTATCAACGTTATCTCATACACGTCCTGATATTGCATATGCAGTGAGTGTAGTGAGTTAGTTTATGCATTCTCCTAATGAAGATCATATGAGTGTTGTGATGCCCATTTTGAGGTATATGAAAGTAACTCCTGGAAATGGGTTAATGTTTTGCAAGTATGGTCATACAAATGTGGAAGGGTATACAGATGCTGATTGGGCTGGTTCAGTCACTGATAGACGTTCTACGTCTGGGTGTTTCACATTTGTTGGTGGTAATCTTGTTACTTGGAGGAGTAAAAAGCAAATAGGTCTAGTGCCGAGGCCGAGTACCGTGGGATGGCTCAAGGTGTGTGCGAGTTACTATGGTTGAGAAGATTGTTGAGAGATCTTGGATTTGGACCCCAGAAACCCATGGATTTGTATTGTGATAATAAAGTTGCAATTGCAATTGCGCATAATCCTGTGCAACATGATCGTACAAAGCACGTGGAGGTTGATCGACATTTTGTTAAAGAGAAGTTGGATGCTGAAATTATTTCTTTTTCGTTTATATCATCCGAGTATCAACTGGCAAATGTTCTTATGAAGTCGACTACAGTCTTTCTCAACTCGCTTGACAAGGTGGGCATGCGTGACATCTTTGCTCCAACTTGAGAGGGAGTGCTAGTGAGATTCTAGCTTAATTAGGATATTTATTTGCTAGTTTAATAGGACTATATTTCTTTCCTTTTGTACAGGTATTGTGTAATTAGGATTTTATCTTGTTTCCTAGTTTAACCCTATTAGGGTTACATCCTTGTACTATAAATACCTCATTTTGGAGAATGAATTACAACCTGAAAAATATTATACCCATATTGTTTGACTATATATATCATAAAAACATATTATGATTGAACAATATAAAATTAGGCAATGATGTTATATGCAAAATATGTTTTTTTTTTTTTTTTGGAAGAGAAGAAGATGTATTGATAATAAATAGAAATAAAACTCAGGAGCTTAATTGACGAACCAAGAAATAATCTCACATTACATATCTCAATTGATGACCCACAAGTCACTATTTGTATACCGTATTTAGGGTTTGTGAAGAGAAGATGAGAGTGTAGTAGGTTTCTTGGATTGAAAGAGAAGAGTAATCTGGCAATAGAGTGTAGAAGAGTTTGTGTTTTTTTTAAAAACTTAATATGAAGAGTGGTGCTGTGTGTGGGTGTGTGTATAGATATATTAGGGTTAAGTATTAAGTTGGATAACATTTTTTGTCTTTTAATCCAATAATAAAACTTAAGAGCTTAATGATTTAAATATTATGGTGAAAAAAGAAAAGTGCGGATTTAAATAGAATTGGACATAAGACCTCAAAGTTCCTCTTTAAGGCTAAGAATTGGTCATAAGACCTAAAAGTTTGGCTTCAGCTGCCTACACTATCTCCGATAACACAAATTTGCAGTTGACCATAATCTTGAAAAATAACGTCAAATACTATAGTAGTTAACGGAAGAAGTTTTCTTTTTTGGTCAATAACGGAAGAAGTTTTAAGTTACTTGCCATACGGTACTAGTGTATAGAGAAACCGTCAATTGGTTAGATTCACAAAGAGAGAAGTGCGCTTCGAAAACAACGGATTGCCAGCAAGTAAAAAGAGGCATCAGAAATTTCACTGGGTAATGGAGGGCCCGCTTCTAGCTGTTAAAAGAGAGCGTCCAAAGAAAAATATCTAATTTGCACCCACATGGAAGAAGTCTTAGCTAGGAGTTTCCATCACAAACCTCTTTTGACATTTTCGTATTTTACATTCAGTTTGGATAATCAAAAACTAAAACTCAAGTAAAGTCCCTTGCGATCAGATCATTAACTCAGAGCTCCGAGAGTTTCACACTTTTTCTAAGTTGTACTTAATAGCATTCTTGCTCTTCATTGCAATTTGCATTCATAGACACTCCCTTCTTAACTGTAGGTAATGTGAAGATATCCATCTTCATCCTTGTTTTCCTTGTCGATTTCGACCATCAAGGCACCTGTAACATTGGATCAAGGAATTATCACGAACCACAACAAAAATGAGTAGAACTAAAATGATCGAGTTGCAACTCACCAGCAGGAGGTTCAGTGTTCTTGAAAAAGACATATATAGGCTTTTCTCTGCTGACCCCAATAGTAAATCGAATATAATCAACAAATTCTCCGTGAGGCATATCACCGTACACAATGAATCTGTAATAAAAAAAACATGCTAGTGTATTTAAGACAGCCTATGAACACAAATGAACTTGGCGTTTGCCTTTCTTTACAGAAGTAGGTAGGTTCTCCTTTGTATAGTAAAAATACAAATCAAGACAATTAAAGCACAAGAGAATTTGAAACTAACTTCTTTGAGCCAATTTCAGGAAGGTCACTCCTGGCATCTTTCTCCACAGCCAACTGCAGGAAAAGCTCAAATTAGAACAGAGTATACCCCAATGAATGCATAGAATGTAAACATATTTGCCGCAGAGAAATTCTTACTGGTATACAACTTGGACGCCTCTCCCTCCAATACCAAGCATCTAAATTAGGAGGGCAGCCTTTGTAGCCATTCCTCTTCCGAGCTTCTAAATCAGTAACGGGCCTTGTAACAGTATACCCTAGTCCTTTTATTACAAAAACATCAGTAGAAAAGAGATGAGAAGAAAACTTAGGCAAAATCTAATCACCAATTCCCGAAATAAATCACTACCCTGGAAAAACTCCAACAAGAAAAGAAAAAAAAAAGGGAAAATAAATACCTGGAGGACCTTTTTTCTTGTAACGGCTTTCGGCAATGGTGAAACGCATGCCACAACTGTTCTCTGCCAATTTTCCAACAAGGAAACATCATCATACGAAATTTGTTACCCAGAAATTAATCACCACATCAAACAGAAGGCTGGTGAGAAAAACGTTGTGGGTTGAAGTACTTGAAGAAAACATAACACACCAAACCAGAAAAGGGATCTATTCGATTAGGTTTTTGGTAATAGAAGAATTGATTGGTTGAGAACTGGGAAAAGAACAGAAGGTCAAAATCAATGAAAGGGGGAGAAAATTACAGAAAGCAGAGAATCACATGTACAAATTAAAAAAGGGAAAAAAAACACCTTGAGGACCATTTTTCTTGTAACGGCTTTCGGCAATGGTGAAACGCACGCCACAACTGTTCTCTGCCAATTTTCCAACAAGGAAACATCAAAACCTCATACGAAATTTGTTACCCAGAAATTAATCACCACATCAAACAGAAGGCTGGTGAGAAAAACGTTGTGGGTTGAAGTATTTGAAGAAAACATAACACACCAAACCAGAAAAGGGATCTAAAAAACAAGACTTTGGTGGAATTAAAAAGTTCAGGTGTATTAAATGTTCGCAAATATAAAATCCGTAAAGACAATGTGGTCTCCAATTACGACTCTTATAGGAACTTTATTTTTTTGAGAATTTTATAGTTATCTTGAAGCAAATTATAATTGTTTTTGTTTACAAACAAAATCTTAAAAGTTCCTAGCACCAAACTCAAACACACTTTTTTTGTTTGAAAAGGAGAAATTTTGTGTCATTAAAAACCATACAAAATAGTGGACAAGTAATCCACCAATAACAGGAAGAAACAGGAAAACGAGCACAGAGATCTGCAATTATGAGAAGAAACCAATCCTAAGCAAGACACTGCAGCCTTCAACAGCAAACTGTTTGAAAGAGACATGTTCCTAAAAATAGGAGAATAGAAGCCCATATTGGAGAATAGAAGCCCATAGCTCACATATTAGTATACATAGCATCCAAGGATTTCTGGTTTTGTATGAAATCCTTTGAAATCCAAAGGGGGGAGGTTGGAGAATCATGACTTTGCTATGACACGATTTGAAGTAAAATGTCATTTCGTGTAACTTTGATGAATGTGTGGAGTTGAAACCATGCATGCATAAAAGTTTCAGTTCTGCAATTAGATCCCCTCCCCAACCTACCTACCCAAGAAATACATAGGTATGATTCATGAAAGACTCATATTTGTGTGTTACCATGCACGCTTTCTCCACTGTAGGTAATGTGAAGAAATCCATCTTCATCCTTATTTTCCTCATCGATTGCAGACATCAAAGCACCTGTAACATTGGATTGATGAATTGTTACAACGACAACTTTGCAAGCAAGAATTACTATGCCTAAAACTAAAATGAGTTGCAACTCACTAGTGGGAGGTTCAGTGTTCTTGAAAAAGACAAATATAGACTTTTTTCTGCTGCACCCGACCGTGATCCGAATAAAATCAACAAATTCTCGAATAGGCATATCACCATAGACAAGAAATCTGCAGTCAGAAAAACAGGATTGACAATAAAACTATCTGAGAACCCCTTCATTTAAGATAAGCTACGAACAGCAATGAACTTCGAGTTTTCCTAGTATTAAGTATGTTTTCCTCTTCCATATACTAATATGGAATATAAGATTACTTGGTTGGCAGACTTCGTCACTTGGGTAACCAATTCATGCAAACCATTATAATAAAGACCATTCGTAACCAACCCTAGACCTTCACCTAATGTACTGAAATGTTTTCTCCCACAACTTTTTTTTCTTTTGTTAAAATGAAACTGTGTAGGAACGATACACATGACTAGATCCTATTTGTGTGCATATATATTGCACGAGCACATTAAAATGCACAACTGATGCAACGAAAACATAAGAAGCTATGAACACAAATGAACTTAGAGTTTGCCTTTCTTTGTAGTAATAAGTAGGTTTTCCTCTCTGTATAAATCTTATATCCACTTATGGAATATGAAAATTACTTGGTAGGAAGCCTTTGCCACGTAGTTAATCAATTCATTCAAACCTTCACAAATGAACTTAGAGTTTGCCTTTCTTTGTAGTAATAAGTAGGTTTTCCTCTCTGTATAAATCTTATATCCACTTATGGAATATGAAAATTACTTGGTAGGAAGCCTTTGCATTATACTGGTTCGGCAGAACTTTTGCCTACG